CATGGGGGGGCTGCAGGGCAGAGTCCTCCCAGCCAAGCTTGTCCCACCTCCAGGGTGGCAGGGGGCAGTGAGGTGGCCCCAGCCTCATCTCCCTGGGGATGGGGATGAGCAGAGACCAGGAGTGAGGAGCACCACGGTCAGACACAGCCCAGGGTGTGCCCAGCCAGGATGGGGTGCTGTTCCATGGCCAGACACAGCCACAGCTGTAGCACAGCTGGAGGCAGGTACACCTGCCATGCAACCCAGGTAGAAACTAAGGCCCGTGGGCAGAAGGTGTGAGCCCCAGGTGAGGTGTCTGGTCATGGTGAAGTGTGTCAGTGCACTCAGTGCCCTGTCTGGCCCTAGGAGGAATTTATCTGAATCATTTGCAGCTATTTGAAAAGGGTGACACTTCTCTTTTCCCCCAAGGAAACTCATTGCTAGCATTAGTAGTAAGTCACTGCCATCAGCTGTATTCAAAAACGTTTTGCATGAAATATTTTTAATGAGTCCAAAGACCAGAACTAACTCCCAGATATATATCAAGGTGTCAGCAGACAGGCTGATACTTTTTAGAATACCAGTCTCCAGATTAAAGTAAATTGGTTTTTATTGCACCCTCTTTTTGCCAAGTATTGACACCAAATCTCCAGAGCCAGACAATGTGAATTAACAAATTCTTGGTTCTCTGCAGCAACTGGAAACAATAGTGATGACATTAGCATAATTTCTCTGCTGCCAGTTTCTCATGCCAAGTCCTGCTATAAAAATATTTTACTTCTCACTCTCAGCTGTTGTCTACCAGTAGATAGGACACTTTATTTGCAACAGGGGGTGTTTTATAATGAATATCTAGTAGGATGAGTTTGAATTACCCATTAGTATAGCCTTGCTTTACAAATTAAAGGCCAGTCCTGAATTTTGGCTTTATTGGATGTTTTATATAACCTTTCTCTTCTTTCCACCATAGCATCTGAGAACCACATAAGCATTTAATGTATTTATTCACAGAATTCCCATGTGAATAAGGGGAATACAATTGTCTGTACTAGAAACACAGGAAATTGATATGAGGCCTGAAATGACAGAACAACTTAGTCTAGCTCCAGACTGGAAATCTGTAGCACAGCTAGAAACTGAATCCTGACTCTTATCCAAGTGTATCTCAGCTACAAGACCATCTCTCATCTGGCTGGACTGGTCTCCAGGAGGAAGAATTATTTCCTGCAGCAGAATCGCTGCTATTTTCACTTTAGCTGCCCCAAAATGGGAAGAGCTGCTCATTCATGTAGGCAAGCACATCCCAAAACAGTGCCAAGCATGCTGAATCCTGTCCCCAGAGTGCCCCTAGTTCCTGCCTGTGGTCACAGTTAGCTGACCAGAGGGGTGTGAGTTGGCTCCCAGAGCAGCCTACATGCTAAAAAGGTTTTGAGAGAGTGTGTGAGGCAGTTATCTGGCAGAGCTGCCCAATCAGTTTGTGTGAGCATTACATAATAGTCTCACTGCAAACTCGCCGTGCCTTTGTGCACATTAAGCCCGTGTCCGTGGCCTGGAATGGAGCAGCCATTTTCACTTGGCATTTTCACTTCACTATCACTTACGGGATTAAATGGCAGTAATTTCCAAACTCAATCCAGTACAACTATGCCCTTTGGCACACACTGATTTTTATTCAGTGCACCTCAGTTCATTGTGTCAGGCGTAGTGTTCTTGACATTACAAGTATAAGCTGATTTTTAATACTGACAACATCCTTGAAGTTCATTCAAATTCTCATGTGATCTCTCATTTAAATTTAAATGATTTGGATTTATAGAGACACACACAGGAGAGACACTGTACAAATGCTTTTGTATGAGTTGCCAGCAGCTCTTATAATATGTTAATTTGGGAGTCTCCTGGTCTTAACTTTCCTTTTTCTCCCTTACACTGCCACAACAGTGATATTTAAACATCTTCTACAAGCCAAGGCCTTGAGTTGTTTCCAAATTGACAGCTGCAGGCTGGGAAGTGTGAATGAAAGCTTGTCTGTGCTGCTGATGGCCAAAAAGTTCCAGAGAAAGGCTCTGCAAAATGCAGCAGCAATGAGAAAATCTTTCTCTCCCCATCCTTTGAGGCAGTCTGATTAGTTTCTTCAGCTGTTATGATTGTGATTTCTGAGCATAAGCTTGCATTCACTGCTGTAATTTTTGTTTCACGTTATGCACCAAAAGGTTTTTCATGTCCCAGTGTGGCAGTCATCTCTAGTATGGATTTTGGGACCTCTGTCAATTAGTCCAGCACTTGATCTGTTTGATCATATCCAAGTATCTGAAAGGCTTGAAAAGAGACTAGTTATATAAAAAATTCCAGTAACAACTCACTATGGTGATTTTTTCCTTTAAAAACATGTTGCTACATGGTGGTTACAGCATGTATTTGTGTTGTTACCCCACAAGCTCATCTTCCTGTGGGTTGCAAAGGGAAGTTTGAAGTGTGGGTTTAACTTCAAGCAGGTGGATATGAACTGTTAGTGGTTTTAATAAAGGCATTTGAAAGCTGGGCTGCATTCCACATTCAGACACTTCACAGGTGCCAGTCACTATGGTGACAAACTCACCAAGTCAGGCTCATTAGAAGACTTGATTCTGATGGTTGATCAGATGGATGTTTGTCTCAAAAATTCAGCAGTTCTTTCTTTTCTGATCCTTCATCTACCATAATCAGATAATATTCTTTGTGTAATAATTAATATTCTGCTAGGCAAGTAAGGCAAATTTTGCAACATATCATAACATGTCAGAAATAGTATGGGTTACAAAACTTGTCTAAGAAGGTGGAATACAGAAGTTGTATTCCATTGTTGTATGTAAGTGGTTTAACCCTTTGACCAAAGTGTTAAAAAGTTTCATTGCTATCTCCGAGTTGTTGAATGGCCCTTGGAAAATGGAGAAATGATACAAAGCTACATCTCTTGAAAGTATCAAGCAATGTCCCATGTTTTGTCTAAAATACTGCTCTGAATATGGCCTGCAATCAGTAGTCATCTTTGCAGCATGAGCAGTGTTCATATTCTGCAAATCAAAATTCCTTGAGTACCTCCTGTTTAGCTCTATATATTAAAATCCTTCAAATATTCATATTTTGAATGAAAGCTCCTAGAATTCTCGTACCTACAAATTTTAAAATATATTTTTAATTTTACTCACATTGAAGTGTGCTGTTGAAATGCTTTTTATATGTTTCTAATCTTTTTCTGAGCACCATAAACCTTCTTGGTCTTCAAGGTACAAGCTTCACTTCAACTGCTATTGGTAGTAAATTGTGATAATAAAGGGAAACAGTGAAGTTGTAATTAATTCCTATACGTAAAACAAGGAGTTTTAAGTATAGCTCTATAGAGACTGGTCTGCTTATGTATGCTATGTATGTCCATACACCTAACTCCTCTGCAATTTATGAAGAGAAGCAAATGATTCCCATTCTGAATTCTTCTCTTGACTAGGATTCCTGTCCTGGATAACCACTGAGACTGCTAATTCCCACTAGTAAAGCCTTGAGGGCAGCTTTATTTCACATCCTCTCTGGCTACATTTGCTAAAATGTCCTGCAGAATCCACCTTATCTGCAGTGTTACATAAAGTGGATTCCAGGAAAAAGAACTTTACTTGCTAAGTGTAGGCAGAACTGTTACGTGAATGTGCAGCTTAATCTGTTTCCTTGTACTTTAGAGGACTGTAGGAACACTCATGAACCTTTAACTTAAAAAAGTACTGCACATGGTAAGAAGTGGCTGACAACCTACAGCTGGGACCTACCATTAACAAAACCATCTGCGCCATCTGAACTAGAATAGACTAGTCTGACTTTAGATTTCACACTAGTAGAGGTGAATGAAGTTTATTAGGAGGAGCATGTGATAAAGCTCTCAGGTGTGGTTAACTGCGGCTACTACCTGTGAGTTCAGTAATTTGAGAGAAGACCCAGGTGCTTTCTACTACAGGTTGGCTACTGAGCATCCATTTAATGCAGCCACAGAAAAGGATGAGGTTTGATCACTCCAAGCTTCTCACAGGATCTAAGCTGAAAGAGCTCAGTCTGATCATCTCTCTTCAAGAATGATGCACTACAGTGTATTACTAAGAAACTTTCTAATAAGCAATGGTCTCTTTACATTTGGTGTGCTTACAACAGGCAGAGATGGTTTTTTTGTGCAGTCTTCTTGTGTTGGGCTAAATGTCAGGAAAAGAGAACAAATTACATAAAAAATACAAAAATATTAGTCTCAATATCAGTGATCAATATAAGGAAAATCAGCCTAATAACATGCAAATAATTTTTATACAAAGTAAGATTTTTAAAGTTATGATCAGTTTGGTTTAAGAAAGATTCAGTGATCCTCTTATGCAGGACCCTGAATGAAAGCACATTGATTATTAAATTCTTTGAATTATCTGAAATTGTGTACTTTTCCAATACTAACCAGTTTATTGACTTTAAAATTTAATTTTAAAAATTACTATGCATTTTTCTACATGTTCAAATATGTGTTGCCTATCCTATGAATATTAACGATGTATCTACTCACAATTAAACTGCTGAAGAGGAATTTTATGAGTTACTGCAGAAGGTACAAGGATAAGAAGACTTGAAAGCTGAATTCTGCTAGAATTTAATTAATGAACTCCATTGCTAAAAATACTATGATCTCTAGGTTTTACTGCTCCAGGCTGCAAAATTAGTCCATCTTTGTGGGATCTGGTTTTAAATGGGGACAGACTGCAACTCTTCTTGATTTATATCAAATCAGTAATTTCTGTAGGGTTGGGGAATAAAAAAATAATTGCTGCTACAGAGACATTATGCAGAGATCGCATTTCCAGCAAGATTCCATTAAAATCTTTTGCCTTCCTGACGGTTCATCTGTGAAGACCATGGGACGTTTGTTTTGCCAGATGTTACCCTCCAAGATATTTTGCTTTCCAACCCTTTTTTACTACTAACTATAAAAAAACACACCAGAATTAAATATGCATAATGCCTTCCAGAAGATTTTTTTTAAAAAAGCTTTATTAAACATACACTCTTTAGACTATATTTAACGATTTCTCCCAATTTACAGGAATCCTCTATCACACAGACAAGTTCTTATTTTCAGTACCTAATCAAGCATGTAGGCCTGTGCTATTCACACACAGTAATTGAATGCTAACAGAAACGGCCACTGGTAACTGAAACGTGTAGAAAAGCAGTTCTCTAACAACTTAAAACTGGGTTAACATCTGCATGGCATATCAGAAATAATCATCTGTCCTGTACAACTACAGTGTAGGAGCACTGAAGACAAATCTGGCCTGTGGCTATTTAACAATAAAGAAAATACCTTTTGAAGCACATAAAAGCCACACCCCTTTAGAGAACTAAGTAGCTTAGGTGCATTTCCACATTAATATTTACTGCTGGTTTATAGCATTAGACAGCCATCTCCATTTTAATAGGTGGATGAGGATTATAATCTTCAATCTGAAAGTCTTCTGCCTTGAAGTTGCTGATGTCTTTAATCTCACGAAGAATTTTGAGTTTGGGGAAAGGTCTTGGTTCCCTCTGAAGCTGAAATAAAAGCAAGCTTACTGTATAAAGCTAATACTTGAAAGCAGAGACTCTGTGTTCTCAATCTCAAATCAGATTACACCATGTAGGCTTTCCCTTCCCACCAAGAAGACTTCCACTAAGAAAAAATATTGAAGAGAATTCCAAGACAGGTAGAATCTACCTTAGTATTTTCACTGATATATTAGAAAGACATTTTCTTTTGTGTTATTTGGATTAGGTGGAATTATTTTCCAAGTTAAAAGTGCAGATTTTGGCTCTGTAATTTGGTTTTAGAGTAGTACACAGATGTACACTTCAATCATGCTCGTATTGTATTTCTGTTTGCAACTTGGACTGATGTTAATGCAGTTATTAGGATAGAAAAGAGGTAAAAAAACCCACAAAAATTAATATCTGCAAAAGGATATATAAAATATTAAGGTAATTTTACATTGACTAAGCACTGTGGAAGATAAAAGGATAGAGTACAGAATAAGTACTTACTTGGACTTTTAGAGGTTCCACATGGTTCAAATATATGTGAGCATCCCCCAAGGTGTGTATGAACTCTCCAGGCTGAAAAGAAAGAAGAATAAATGTGGTTTTCAAACAGACAGGTTCTAAGAAAGCAAAACATTACAATGCTTACAGTATTGATTCTCAGCATCTGGCTAGTGTGGAATTGCCACTTCTGTACAGGATTGTATCCTTGAAAGCTCTGAAGGGCACAAGCTTCTCTGACTAATGCATAAATTAATCGGAAATATAATGAAATTTCCACTAGCTTACCAAAAAATTTATCTTTCAAATTCTGCTATGACAGCAGCTTTGGTAAATGAATGGAGCAATACTGATCTGCACACTGAGACAGAACCAGGTGAAGCAGTGACATCCAGCCTTTCCACTCCACTTCTAGTGAGTACAACTCGCCAAAGCTGGCTTCAGAGCAGCTGCCTCAGCCACTACTAAACTGCAGTGGAGGTGCCAGGCACAGGCAAGCACCCAGAGCTTGCAGGCTCTGTGACTTAGCAGCCCCTGAGCAATGGAATTTCACATGAGGAAGTTTCATCAGCTCTTTTACTGGCCTGTGACCAGCACTGATCAGCCCTCAGATGTGTTACACTGAAAACCACCAAAGCCATGAGAGGAAGTGGCTGAGAGGCAACAGCTGGACATAACGTTAAACTTTACTTTTTTTAGTACCTTGGACTAATTTCTGTGGCTGCTGAGAAGCCTGATTCTTTCCTATTGCCCTGTTTTAAGAAGTTGCCCTTAGTGTTGCTGGTAGCAGGAGGATTAGGCACTGAAGGCCTTTCTACTATAATTTTTACATGCTCTAAAGAAAAGGGGTTTTCCCTTGCACAAGACTGTTGTGCATTTAAGTTTCTCTGCCAAATTACAAAATACAGCTCTGAAGTCAGGGCAAGAGCTACTTGAGCACATACTACCACTCAACATAATCATCTACAGTAGGAAATCAAAGAAATACACATCTGAAATTATACCTGGAAGTTTGATGGGCAGAATATCCAAATTAGAACCTTGACAGCAACTGCTGAGCTACTGTTCACTTCCAATAAACACATGTTACAAAATCTAATCACTTGAATATTACTATCCCATCAGGACAAGCACTCAGTTCAGATTTCTAAGACTAGTGAACAGGTCAGTCTTGACATATTCAAGGCATGAAAGAATCTTCTGCTTAACCCGAATTTTAAAATTCTTACATTGCTGATTCTAACTGTCCATACAAACCAGAAGCAATTCATATCAAATTCACAGGGTCCACATATATCAGCAAGATTTCAAACAGTATGCTTATTCCAGTTTTCCTTGGACGTGACATAAAGAGCCTTATCTTTTAGTCCCTCATTTCTCAGACAAGAATAAATAAGATGATTAAATAGCCTACCTTCAGCCCTGTGACATGGGCAATCATGTACGTGAGCAGTGAATAGCTGGCAATATTAAAAGGCACTCCTAGTCCCATGTCTCCAGACCTCTGATAGAGTTGGCAAGACAATTCACCATTTAGAACGTAGAACTGGCAAAGGGCATGGCACGGAGGCAAAGCCATCAGGGAAATATCTAGGAATTGAGGTACAGGAGGTGGAGGGGGGACAAAATATTAAGAGCATTAGTGTGTTATGAATGTAGAAGATGCAAAACCTAAACAAGCATGTAATGAGATACAGTAGAGAGCCAACTGCACTGTCATTCTGTTGCTTTTTCTCTTGTTTCTAAGCACATGCTGCCCAAGCAATTAAGTCCAGGTCATGACAAGCTGTCTCCTGGGTTGTATGACCAGAAAGTCGTAAACAGATATTCCACAGAACAGACTTATGCCATAATGTTGCACAGCAGTTTATTTCTACTCACCTTGGTGAGACAGCTGAATTCCCTAAAGGAAGACATTAAGAGTAAAATTAAGCATATACCCTAAAGCAAATTCCAACTGCTTCATCTTAATCTCTTCCCGTTGCAATGTGCTTGTTGAGATATAAAAGTAATGATTATTTTTTAAAAAATCAGAAACCAGAAGATCTTTTGAGTGTTTTTCTATGCTTAAAAAGTGCAGAGAGTAAAATTACAGCTTGGCAAAGAAAACTTTCACCAGATATATTCTGAGAATACATGCCAATGATGGATCAGCAGATTCCACCTGGCAATGTTTACCCTTGAAAATAACAGCAATAGCATGTGGCATACCCTTTCAGACAACAGTGGAAAATGTTATGTGATTTTTTTGGAGCACAGATTTATCACTGGTGAAAGTTAAACATTCTCTTACAGTAGCTCTTGTTTAGAAGTTGCCTTACAGAGTGAATGGATATCTATGTATAAACAGACCCTATCATTCAGTATGATATGATACAGGTTCATAATACAAACCTATGTCCAAGGAGAAGATTACAACACAAATAATATTTTTGTTCTCTAGTTTTAAGGGTTAAGTTTACAATAGATTACATGGCTAAAAGCCAGACACATTGCTTTAATATAGTTTTTATGGTTTGGGTTTTTTACCTTTTTAATAACAGTTACTGTCTTTGAATAGACTGTATGCCAAAGACACTGGTATATCCCTCATTTTAGCATGGAGAGAAAAACTTTGAAGCAACAGTTCATGATTTTTTAGGTCTGAACATGAGGATAAAGTAGAAAGAGAATCAAGATTATAACCCCTGGCCAGTTTTACTGCACTCCTGGTAGTTTTATAAAGAATGAACAAGGACACCGAATGGAACTGACTGTTGACACAAGAACAGAACACAATTTAGCACACAGCAATATAATGTGCAACCACGTTCACTTTACGCCAGCTGTTCAATACCTTTGGGATTCCAAGCACACATAATGATTCTTCTGTCATCTGGATTGGTTTTGATCGTTTCAATCACCTTTTGCAACTGATCAACTCCTTGGTTGGAGTAATCTGAAGAAATATAACAATTAAGATCTAAATCAGACAGATTCAAGTCACAGTATTTTTTTAACACCCAGCCCATCTCCCACTGAAAAGTGACACCCAAATGACAACCTCTGAAAATTTTATTGCAACTTTGAAGTTGATTAATAAGTTGGCACCATCCAAACATGTTCTTGGTCTTTCTTAGGATGCTCCAGAGCTTTTAAAGTTCTTATGATGATATTTCTGTATGTCCTCCCCAATTCTTTTGTGTGTTTTGAGTACCTTTAGCACCCACAGAAATAGGACCATTCCTATTTATTCCATTTTCAACCACTTGATTTATTTTAAGACCAACTAAAAAGTCTGTCTAATCACTAAACCCCAAGAAACAGAAGTTGTAATACAAAAAACTAGCTGGACAAAGATGATACTTTATCACTCATGATGACTTTTTACCTAAACAAGACAAGAGCTCTACTGGAAAGGACAAGATATTACCACCTAGTCAGTCATGGTATTTAGACTGATTTGCTTATTGCATTTCTGAATTAAAATGCCTTTCAAAGATTCAATTTGCATGCCACAGTGCTCTTCTTATATATAAAACAAAAAAAAAAAAAATTATGCCCAGACCAGTGTGCCAGCCTTCTTTACACACTCAAAAGCAGAAAGTTTTTGACAGATGAATAAATGCATCCATCTAGCACTCTCAAGGTCATATATGAAAACTAAATTCCCTAAACTAAATAGCATTTCGCTCCAGAAAGGAACTTTAATCATGTGTAGCACAGGATATTACATTTCACCCAATGACACAGGCTGAATTTTAGGCTCAATACCAGTTAAGTAAGAAATTTTCTGAAATGAACTGACCATCAGAATGGATTTCAGAATAATGAAGTCATTAGTCGTTAATAATTGTTCTGACTCATGTCAGTCAATTAGCATGGCTGGTAACTACTTTTTTCTAATAACTCTAACTGCAGCAACACCAAATTATGGTTACAGGGAGACCAAGCTGGCAAACAAGGTAGTAATACACAATTAGCATCTCAAGGAACTCTTCTGCCAGCAATCTGTGCCAGAAGCCTTGTCAAATGGTTATGTTAGTTCCTGAAGCTACTTACCTATACATTAATAATGCAACTAAAGGAAATCTATTTGTAAGGAAAACTATGGGAATTTATCTTGTTCGTTTTTTCCACGCTACGTTGTGCCTTAGACGTTTTAAGATGAGAAACTGTAAGTTTTCAGATGTGTCAGTTCATAATTTGCATCATTTGTGTTACCATAAAACTGTATTCTGCTAGTGGCCAACATGCCTATACTAAATCTAATATCAGTAATTAATGTAAGCTGCAATTTGAAGCTGTTTTGAAAACAAACAAACAAGAAAACTCACCTAGAAAACTAACCATGTTGTTAATCCAAGTTAAAGAAAATTACACCAGATAGTGACAATCTGGTTTTTGACCCCTTTTCTCCCTTTTTCTTAATGGCAGTCCTCTAAGCATTTTCTGTAACCTCTCCTTCAGGGACTTCGAAAAGAGGAATCAATACATTTGAGAGTCAGTTTAATAAACAAGTTCCTCTGAAAATACCAACAGGTACTGCATCACATCAGAACCCGTCACAGCTGTTCTGTCCACAGCATCATCAGCTGTGGAAACAGCCTACTTTGTTCCAGATGCAGAATGCGAAAATCTTTCTCTTCACTGCCTCCAGTGAATGTAGCGTACTGATGCCAGTTCTTTCCAGCACAATTTCATGGACCCTGCACTGGTATAGAGAGATGGCAGCCTGTGTTCTGTCATCAAATGGAGCTAGCTCAGGTTTCTGGACTGCAGCACACACATCATTCCAGCTATCAGCAACCACATCTGCTCTAGGTAAAAAGAGTAACAGTGTGTGCCTTATGACTCATCTGTTCCACAAATACCAAACTATAGTATACAAAGCTACATCTTTCAGGATAATTCAGATTGAGTAAGGAAAAAAAGTTAAATTAACTCTCTCAAACACTCTTTATTCTGGCTATCAGCTTGCTGTAAATGTTTTTTTAAGAACATTCCATTCCACACACGGTTCTGGAAATGATGTGTCACTGAGCACTCAAGACTATATTTGGATGTGATTACCTGTATGCATATCTTTGTATTCTGCTCCAAAATGCCTCCACTGGAAACCATACACTGGTCCCAAATCACCCTCCTCTCTGGTGCTGAAACCTTGCTTATCCAGGAACTCACGCGACCCATTAGCATCCCAAATCTTCACACCTTTTGCAGAGAGCTCTTTGGCATTTGTAGAACCCTATAAAACACAGTGAGAAGTCTGCATCCTAATTCCAACACAGAAGCATGATTTAGAACAGTTGTATTAAGCTTTGCTAGTCCCCAGTATTTCTCCACTCATAAAGGACGAACAGTGTAATTAATGTTCTGGATGAGGTTCTTGCACATGGAGACAGAACAAAACTTGTGAGCAACACCCTGGGATGGAGTTTGAGGTGCCACGCTGCTGTTGTTTAACTCAGGATTCTCACACTTTGTGAATGCACAAACAGCCTCAAGGTCAACTGTGGAATGTCATTTCGTATTTGCAGAGAACAAGATGTTACTTTACAGACTGATGAAAATAGACTAACAAAAAATGTATGGCCTAGGCATAGTCTTTTCCAAGTCACCTCTAATAAGCTTAAGGGCTTAAAAATCCTTTTGTTAAAATAACAAAAATTAGAAAATAACCCAGAAAAATGTCACTGAATCCTGCAAGATGTCCAAATCTGCACACTCAAAAATCCAACACAGAAATTATGCTGTTTTGGGGACTGTCTAGTCTTTTACATTAAAACAAAAACAAACAAACAAAAAAACCCCAAAACAAACAAACAACAAAAAAACACAAAAAAACCCAAAACCAAACAAAAAATCAAACAAAACTGAAAGCTTTTAAAAAATAAGTTTGCATTTGAGTCCTGCTATCTAGCAAATGCTTATGTGGATTCTCCCATATCTGCACGATATCAAAACACAGAAAGGAACCCTTACATTGTAATGAACTAACTATAGTTAAATTTTATTTAGTATAATAAATAAAATTTATGTACAGCTATTAGGTCTGTTAGATCTCATTTTTTTGTTACTAAAAAATTCTAGCATTTACATCAGCCTTACTTCACCCGTGGTTCCACACTGCTTTTTTCTGTTCAAATCAATCGGTCTAAATATTAAAAAGCAGATCATTAAATTACCCAATATCTGTCTCATATTATTATTTCTGATTTAAAAACAAAGATAAGAGACTGCATTAGGCTTTATAGCTGTTGAGTATACTCAGTTTAGTCCAAGCTCTCACTATTTCAAATTTTCTCCCTTAACAATAAATAAAGAAAAACTGTTCTGATTGCACTGATAGCAATAGTCTGCACTAAAATGCAGAATGTCTTGAAGATAATGGCCTTCCATGTGTGGTCACAGTATTAGGGCGTTGCACTTCTGTAATAAGAACAGAAGCATTTGCAGTTATCCAAATGCCTTAATCCACTGCCCAGCTGTTGGTTCTGTTTATGCCACTCTCGGGCCCACCACCCACAGAGACACCCAAATACCGAACCTTGATGAACCACAGCAGCTCCTCCAGCACTCCCTTCCAGAACACCCTCTTCGTTGTGAGCAGTGGAAACTGATCTGCAAAAGAGGTCCAGAGTGTCAGCGGGGACCAGCCATTTGGCAGGGTGAACAGACTTCGGCTTTTCTCCACACAGAGGGCAATGCCACCACCTGACATTGTGAGGCGGGGATATGAAACAGGGAGTTGGGAGAGGATGTATAGCTCCTATGGTCAGACCCCTCGGGTGGGGGGAGCGGGACAGCCCCGGCGTGTGAGACCCCCACACTCATCCCGGCTCAGTGCGGGGGCAGAGAGCAGGAGCAGGGACATGGAGCAGGGACAGGGAGCAGGGACAGGGAGCAGGGACAGGGAGCCGGGGGTCCCGGCGGTGCCCACCTCTCAGGCTGTACCGCGCCTGCATGCCGAACACGGAGATGGTGCCGGTGCCGGTGCGATCCTCCCGGCGGTGGCCGTGCTGCAGGATGTGCCGCACCTGCTGCAGGTACTGCTGCTCGCCGGGCTCCGGGCGGGCGGCGGGGCCGCCCAGCAGCTCCCCTTCGGCGGGCATGGCGAGCGAGCGGCTCCGGCTGCGCGCCTCTCCCGGCCCGCCAGAGCCCGATTTCCCGCCAGAGCCCGATTTCCCGCCAAACGGCGCTGAGGGGCGGGCGGGGCGGAGCGGCGCCACCGCCATCTCCTCCCTCGCCCACCGCCTTCCCTTTCCCCCTCCCTTTCCTCCTCCAGTACCCCGACGTGCTCAGCGCCGCTGGCTGTACGGCCCGCTGTGGTCCTGAATGGCGCGGTTCCCCCTGAGGGAGAGCTGGCCCCAGCCAGTGCCCCGAACCACTCCGGCTCGTTTAGCTTGGATATTAGGAGGAGTTTCTTCACAGAAAGGTTAATCACATATCAGAATGAGCTGCCCATTCCCAATGGATGCTCCAGGGAGCCACCGTCCCTGGAGGTGTTTGAGGAAAGACGAGGTGGCATGTAGTGCCATATTCTAGCAGGCATGGTGGTGTTCTGTCAAAGGTTTCGCCCAATAGCTCCGAGGTCTTTTCGTACTTGATTCATTGTGTATTCTGTCACTTCGTTCTGCTCTAGTGGCACCATAAGCGCTCTCCTGGTTCATCCCGTGCTGGAACGTGCAGTTGACATTAGTCATCCTTCGCCCTCTCTTTGCAGCCTCAGGCATCATATTTTGGAGCTGAACAAGACCAAAGCGTTCAGCTGGGCCTGGCAGGCCACATGCATTTGCCACAAGATCCCCCCAGCTGGGATGTCCCAAATGGCCAAAGCCCCTGTGCCAGCCTCCCTTGTCTCCCCTGCTGTGGTGCCATGCCCCATGCACAGCTCACCTTCCACAGTGACACAGTCCAGCAGTATCATCCTGACCTAAGCTTCCAAAGCCAGGTTCTTTTCATGCCATATCACCAGGTACCTGCTTCATATTTTATTGGCCCATTTGCTGCTCACTAAGGGTAGTACTCATTGCTTGTGTTTATTTGGTCTCATTGTGTTGATCTCAGCTTCGCCCATGTCCCAGTGTCATTTTGCATCCCGACTCATGTCTGATTGCAGCTGTTCCCAACATGGTGTCCTCTGAAAATTTTCTACGTGTGATCTCTGCTAGTCAGAAGAGACTGATTCTTCTCTGAATATTTCTTCATTAGTATCTCTTAGAAGTTAAGAATTTTGTAACAGTCATTTATCTCTGAGATAAAGGCCAGCTTTCTGACAAGTGATGTGTTTACAGGAGTTATGAGTGATAATCTCTCATGATTAGGGGCCTGAAATACAGATATATATGATGGAAATTAAGGAACACAGAGGACTGTAGATTAGAAAATGCTACCTTTCTTTGCAGCAGGCAGAAAATCATATTTTCCACTAATTAAAACAGTGAACGAACTTTTTTCTTGTATACTTCATGTGTATGTATAGAAGAAAAGGAAAACAGAAAATGTAAATAGGGTGTGGATATTTTTCTCTGCTCATATCTGATAAAGATGTTTTTGTACACTTTGAAATTAGCATGCTTCATTTAGCAGAGCTACAGATTGAAATGGTGCATATACCAGTGTGCAAAAAATGCTTAGAACAATGATACCGTAGCAAATGATACCAAATCACCTAGAGCTCTGCTTCTAGCTGAGAGCTATACCAGTTCTTAACCTTTATTATAATTTACAAATACCATTGAAAACTGATGTGTATAATTTAGGGAGAAACAAAGTTCTTTACTGATAAAGGATTTTAATTAATTAAGAAATTAACTCCAGAGCCAGACACTACTGTTTGTAAGAAATGCCAGTGGCAGAAGACTTACTCATTAGTGCATATTCAGATAAGTAATTTTATGTACACAATAAGCTTCAAAAGCAACTGGAAGAAAAATTGAATATTTTCATTGCAAAATAATATACTACATGCAGATGGAAATCTGGTTCCTTCAGACTTAGCTGAATGTCCAACAGCTGTAGGGATCAGTCTTGAAAAGGCTTTAGAATGTGCTTGAATGTAAGTATGCAAATAGAAATTACTTTTATGCTTACAGCTGATTATGTCCTTAAATCTTTTTATAACCAGAGCCATAGCTTGTTATCAAAGATTACCTTACTGACAACATAAATAACATTTTATTTAAATAAATTAATATTGAAATTGATTTGGTTTTGGGTTCGAGTTTAGAGATTTCATTTCTACAGTCTTTGGTTGATAGCTTATATGTCACAGTATTTAGTAAGCAACATTTTATTTATATGCAACTATTTTAACCACAGTAATTTAACAGTTAGCTATGCTGAGCATAGGGGTTGTTCAACTAAGGAGCATATACTTTATTTCAGGAAGAAAGAATTCACACTCTTCTTTCCTAGGAGGAAAAAAAAAGAAAAAAAGGAAGATTATACATTTTGGTTTTGAATGGAGAAAAATATGTTACAAAAGTAAGTATATGTGGAATGTACCACTGCCCTGCTATAGAAATACACATAATATAAAAAACAGACAGAAACTTTTCTTTTTCCCTCCCTTTCTGTTCTTATAGATCTGTCCAGTTTTCTTGTACAGTTTAAAATCTTTTTTTTTATCCATTACATTTTCATGTACTCTAAGCCTTGTGCAAACAGAATGGTAGTGTGATTTTGAAATCAACACTGCTTACTTTCCCCAGGTATGAAATGGCTACACAAGATATGTCCACAGGAAAATCAGGCTAAGAATCCAGCTAAAAATCATCATCAAACTACAGAAATAATTATTGCCATCATTAGGGCCTGAAAATTAGTATTCCATAATCTGAAAGAGTATTTATCATTTATATTTATAACTGCATATAAGTTACAGAGAATTTTGAAGAAAAATTGTAGAGAAAGTGTTGGAGCATTTTATTTCATATGTTTACAATTATCAACATGTAATTTCACCAACATTTACCTAAACAAAGTACATGGTTTATTCCAGTATGTCTAAATCCTGCAGCCCACCTCAGCCTCTCTAGTGGGAGTGATTTCTTTCCTTCATCAACTCAAAAAGTGTGCCTCTGACCTCAAAAGAAAAAGCAGATTTAATACAAAATGCTGAAATCTTCATCTATCTTGTTAATGTTGAATGCTCTTTTCCTGCCTCCTGAGTCTTCTCTTTGTGAGCAGGTCATTTCACACATCTCTTTGTGTGCAGCTTCAATTGCTCAGTTGAGAAAATCAGCTATGACCTAAACAGAAACAATGTCCAAATCTGGTCCTTCTCAGAAGATTTGCCTGAAAGTCTCATGTGTCTTGTGGCTCTATTCCCTGGAAGAGACAACTCTGAGAGTCAGAAGCCACTAAAGCTGTGCATCCCAGAGTCCCCTTGGAAGGGAAACACAGGGAAGGGTGGTTTACAAGTTTCACAGTAGTGTGATGCCATCTAAAACCATTCCATCTTTCCTGGGGATTCCCTGTGGGATTAGAGAATATAAAGCATTTGTTCTCCCTGCCTCTCTGCCCAGTTCTTCCTTCCTCTTCTTGAAATATCTTAAACAAGGAGAGAGCCTTCTTGTGTGTCCTTTTTACAAAAATGGTTGAATCCCATGACCAGGATCTTTCTGTGCATGATCCTGCAAGTTGAACTGTAGCCTCTATTAATAAACACTGTTAATCTGAGCAGTGTGCTGCTAATGCAGAAATGTTATGGCAAGACAGCTCTTCCATGTCCTGGTGGTGACTCTCACTTTGCCCTCCTTTATAATCAAAAATAATATGAGCATGCTCTTAAACACTACTGAAAATAAAATTAAAAAAAACCAAACATTATGAATAGTGATAATTCCAGTCCATGAATGGACACAAAGAGATGGTTTTTGATGCCAAGACACTGGACTGTGGTTGTGAGGCAATTCTTTTGTGAAGAAATATTTATCATCACATTACCTCATCCCAGCTGTTACTTAAGGACTGGGGGTTTCACAGATGTGTAAGTCAAATCATTTCATATATGGTGTCTGTGTTTTGCAGGCTAGAACATTGAGTGTTTGTTTGCATTTTCCATAATGCTTGTGTTTTTCTCAATGTGTCCTTTCTGAGAAGTCAGTCTTGTATACACCATGACTGAATCTGGTTCCAACTTAAGTTCATTGCAATGTAAACAGCTTTCATGAGGATGTGTGTTCTCTGTGAAAGCAGAAAGAATGAACTTACCATTTAAAAATTCTGCTTATACAATTGAAGTGCTTTCCCAGCTATGTATTCAATGAACTCAGGACTCTTGGGATCTAAGTTGGGAGGAACTTTAATGGTGAAAGTAGGTGAAGTCAGAACGTTCACATCTACCACAGTTTCGTCTTTACTGGAGGGATCCCCGGGTACCACCTAGAAGAGATCAGTAGTTTAGACACCACAAACTGCTGTGTGCTTTCAGTTTTGTTTATATCTGCTGTGCCCACTGTCTTTAATAGGGGAACATTAAATAGGGGAATATTTGAGACTTGTCTACTTTCTTCTGAAAAGAAATCACTTTCTTCTGAAAAGACTGTGGTTGTCTGAATTTGTGTAGGTGGTGGAAAGAGCTGACATGGCACTGCCAAGACCATGTTAAAGAACTGCATGTTAATGTTTATATCATGAGCTACATCTATAAAGAGCTTCTGTTCTCCTATTTAAAATTTCTGAACTGTCCCACTAAGTTCAATTCAACATTTGTGTGATTGAATTTCTTCATTCTTGTGTGTTTTTCTAAATCAGACTTAAGTTCTGTAGCTTTATTTTCCTAGACCAGGTATCTCAGACTCAGTTGGGAAAATGTGCCTGGGTCCTGTTCCTATTTTGTGCTTTTTTTCTTTTGGTGGATTGTACCATCATTTTGTATAAAGTTCTGGTAGTAATAGTAGTAATTCACTATATATGAGTGGATTTCTGAGTTAGGAGAGAGAATAAGATCTGTCCCTTGCCCAGGATAATAGATAGAATTTACCTTGGATGTATCTTTGTGTGTGCAGATATGTATTTACTGAAATATTGACCAATGCTGTCAAGCATGTGCAGCTTCCATTGCAAAAATCTGTATAACATTTGCCTTCTTTGAACTTTGGAATATATAAGTACAGACACAGAGAGCTAGACATTCATCGATCCAGTGGAGGTGTGTTAGTGACTGGTGCAGTGCAATTTATCTGTGCAGGTAATCTGAGGCCAGTCAAAGCTGCTAGTGTCAATTTACTCTTATCAGACAGTG